TGGCAGGGGTGACTGGCAGGGGTGGGTGGCAGGGGTGACTGGCAGGGTGGCAGGGGTGGGTGGCAGGGGTGACTGGCAGGGGTGTGGCCGGCCGCGGGGACAGGCCTCGCTTCCTTGCTTCCCGCTGGGAGGGGTGGGTGCGAGGTCTTATGAGCCCTGGCCGCCCTTTCCAGTGCTCAGGACGCGGGTCGGGATGCGGGTCTCCGGGTGTGCGCCGGGCCCGGCTTAGCTCTTGCTCTGGGGGGCTCCCCACTGCCCCCTGACCCCAGCCCCGCGGGGTGCCACGGCTGGGCTGGCCCAGGAAAGGCCCACGGGGATGCCCAGTACTGAGGAGCGCACCACGGGTCCCCCAACCGGCCCGGCCAGCAGAGCAGGCAGCCTCGGCCGTCCCGATCATCCCCTCGCAAACCTGGGCGGGAGGAGCAGCCCTGGGCCCGGGCGCCTTTCCTTTTCCTGCCCGGACTAAAGAGACTGCAGAGCCCCGTCCACGGCGCAGTGGGAGCCTGCGCTGCGCCCACACCCCTCCAGTGAGCGGGTAGGGCTGCGGAACACACGCCATCGGTGTACGGTCATAGACCTGGCTGGGTCGTTCACACCCTGGAGGGGGGTCAACGCCCGCCAGGTCCCCACTTCAGAGATTCTGTGGCTGGAATCCAGCCTCGGACAGGGCTTTCTCCCTGTAATCCGAGCACTGCCCAAAACCACAGGCAGTTTCCATCCCCACCGCGCCGCAGTGCACAAGTTGTAGGAGACAAAAAGACTGGGAGGGCTGTTGGCTGTTGGGCTGTTGGGTTGTTGGGCTGTTGGGCTGTTGGGCTGTTGGGTTGTTGGGCTGTTGGGTTGTTGGGCTGTTGGGCTGTTGGGTTGTTGGGCTGTTGGGTTGTTGGGCTGTTGGGTTGTTGGGTTGTTGGGCTGTTGGGCTGTTGGGTTGTTGGGCTGTTGGGCTGTTGGGGGGTTGTTTTGTTTTTTGGTATTTTTTTTTTTTAACCACAAGTCTTTTGGCAACCATCTCAAGAATTGATCCGACTATTGATTTCTTTCTTGCTGGTTTCTGGGACTTCTCAGATTGTGGAGGATCTGGGGTGTGGTCAGGAAATGGGGACCAGATTAAATGTTGTTATTAAAGATGGTTTTTCTTTTTTCTTTCAGCCAAATAAATCCCAGGATCTGCTCCTGTCCACCCCTCAGGTCTGATGGAAAACACAGCTCCCGGTGCAGACCCTAAAGACACCATTTAGGTGACAGGTAGTCCTGGTTGAGTAAGTCTGATCTCAGACAGGCAGCATTTCAAAATAAAAGCTCTCCACCTGAGCTGTGAAGGGAAACTCTCTCTGCAGCCTCCCAGTGGGAATCCTCGGAGAAGCGTGCAGGCCAGGGCCACAGACACACATACTGGGTTCTTCCAGTGCCTGCAGGCCCCGTTCCACTCAGGACCGGAGGCTCCAAGGACTGCTGCCAGGCAGGAAAATACACAGGAACCATGTTGCCAGCAGCCTGCACTGAGAAATGGGGGGACAAGAGGCTAGCAAGGAAACAAAAAGATCACAGAAGAGAGGAAAAAAGGATAGAGAAATGGGCCTTCTCCAGATACACATTATATGCACATACACACGTCCATATATATATTTCACCATACGTAAATTGCAATATATTAACTGGGGATCTTTTATATTTACTGGAGGAAGCAAGCAGAAAAAAAAAAAAAACTCCTAAGATCTGAGCTGTCCTTTTTCATGGAAACACATATCCAAGGCCAGTGAACAGTCCACATAGACCTCTGTCATTTAAGCCACACATGGTGGCTTCAAAGCCAGGCTCCAAATATCAAGCCCTCAAATATTCATCTTTTGTATGATAAACTGAATTTGCATTATAAATGGGTGCAAAGACCAACAAAACCCTCAGAAATGACAAGACCTGCTCAGTCACACCTACCCAGCCTGGGACAGGACCAAAAGGCGACACCCCACTCGGACCCAGAAAGGACCCTCTTGCCAACAACCAGCTTTAGAACAGGGTGCATTTCCCTCGCTGTCCCATGAAGTATATGCTGATCATGTTTTCTGGCAAGGGAAGAAAATTAGATTGATCGAACAATACAAGCTATTGTCATTCCCAGTATATTCATCATGACTTAGAAAGATGAAAAAATATTGACTTGCTCTAAATAACATTTTCTTGTCTCCAAGCAGCCATTGTGTGTGTGTGTGTGTATGTGTGTGTGTTTGCTGATACTGGGGCTTGATCTCAAGACCTTAGCTCTCCCTTAGCTTATTTCGCTCAAGTCTGGCACTCTATCACTTGAGCCACACCACCATGTCCAGCTTGTAGTGGTTAATTGGAGGTAAGAGTGTCACAGACTTTTCTGTCAGTCTGGCTTTGAACCTTAATCCTTAGCTCTCAGTCTCCTGAGTAGGTAGGATTACAGGCATGAGCCACCAGTGGCTAGCTTAGGAGGTAATTGTTCTTATGGAGTTGTCCAGGGCACAGATAATCAAAGATGGCCTTTGCTAACTGGTCGCAGGGAGAGAATGGAACAGAGGAGACAGAAGTGATGAGCATGGCGGGCCCTGGTCTGGGACCAAGCCCTTTAAGGGCCATCATGAGAGACGACCTGTGTTATAACATAGGTGTTTTGTTTTGTCAGTCGTGGGGCCTGAACTTTGGGCCTGGGCGCTGTCCCTCAGCTCTTCTGCTCAAGGCTAGCGCTCTACCACTTGAGCCACAGCGCCACTTCCAGCTTTTTCTGCTTATGTGGTGCTGAGGAATCGAACCCAGGGCCCCATGCATTCAAGGCAAGCGCTCTACCACTGAGCCAACTTCCCAGCCCCATAGGTATTAAAAAAAAAAATCGTTAAAACTCCTAGCAGTACCTACAGTAACAAGAAAATAATGAAGGCCACTGACTTCTCTGAGAAGAAGGTGATTAATTAAAATAATTAGGCTGCACTGAATTATTACAAGATGAAGTTTTCTGTAGGGACCAACAAAAAACAGGCAGAACATTTTTTTCAGTTCAAAAATTAAAACCATATTCGGGTTCATTAGCGGAGAGGGGAATGCACACACATTAGCCCACGATCTTATTCACGGATTTGTAACTGTCTAATATTTCACACCTTTGTAATGGTTCTGATAAAAAGAATAAGAATCAAAGGAGAAAAACAAAAACCTGACTTCAGTGACTTTATTGCTTGTAGAAAGGACATCTTTTTAGTTTGGGGGTTTTGTGTGCTTGTTTTTGGAGGAGGGATAGCAAGAAGGCTTTGGGATTTGCTTTGAAAGTGCTCCCGCCTGTGAACGGCACTAGAGCCAGACCGGGGACAGTGACATCTCCTTCACATCCCTGCCCCGTGGCCTCAACGCCTGGATGCTCTCCTTTCTACCAAATCAAACGCAACTCTGTGGCCTGACTTTCAACACCCTCCCTCGACTCCTGTGTCCCCCTCTCCCCCTTCTGTGAGATCCATGTCAACAGGCGAATCTCACTCTCCATGCTGCACCCAGCTGGCTCACCCCTGCCTAGATCCCCCTTTATTCCTCTCTGCTCAGCCAGAGACTCAGCATGACAGTGAACCGGCTTTCCCTCATCTGTCAGGCCACTCAGGACCTCTGCCTGCGAGGAAAGGCTCCGGAGAACTAGCCGGTGTTCCCAGCCCTGTGGAGCCTTTGCCTGCTTCCCACGGCCAACCCTGGCTCACAGACTAGGCGAAGAACCAACTTCGTTGAATCCCGGTTCTGACAAGAGACTATGGAGATGCTTAACTGAGTTATTCTATGTGAAGCCCTTAGTCCTGGGCCTCGTACACTCCATGCCCCGCTGAAGGTTATTAATGATCACTGCCGTTAGTATTATTTATCCTTATCCTGTATTCTGCCCGAAAGCGAAACTGCTCATAGTATTTCATTGCCTTTCCATCAACCTGTCCTTGTCCAGAATGTTTAGCAAAACCTTCCAGGCATTCAGGTTGCCTGATAAGGCCAAGTTCTCCACAACCTTGTCTAGAATTCAATCCTGCCAATCTACCCAGTTCCTCCATGTCCTCTCTCTCTGTCTCTCTCTCTCATAGTGCTTAGCATCAGCTGCCTTACCTCATGATTCGGAACAGGAATTAAGGGGAGAAACTACATTAGCTATCTTTGTATCTTTTTATCCTCAAACCACCATCCTCTGTATCTCAGCCTCCCGGGCAGCTAAAATTACAGGTGTGCACGACTGGCACGCAGCCAAACGTACTCTTTTTCACCAACATGTCTAATTGTTTATGTTGCTCAAAACAACTTTTATTGTAACTTCTTACTCATAATTCACACCCCATGGCCCCAAGAACCATGCACAGTGCAGGGCCTGTGCTTAGAAAAACCTTCTGGCTAATACGGAGTCTTCTTCCGTTTTCCAGAAGCCAATACCATGAGAGACTACAGGTCACTAGTGAAGGCTGCAGTGAGTCCGATTCCCAGGAGACACTTCTGACTCCATGTGCCAGACAGGTGTACTAAGAGGTGATGTGGTGCAGGCGGGGTGTATGAGAGGTTGGAGGTGCAGGCGGGGTGTATGAGAGGTTGGAGGTGTGGTTCAGGCGGGGTATATGAGCAGTTGGAGGTGCAGGCGGGGTGTATGAGCGGTTGGAGGTGCAGGCGGGGTGTATGAGCGGTTGGAGGTGCAGGCGGGGTGTATGAGAGGTTGGAGGTGTGGTTCATGCGGGGTGTATGAGCGGTTGGAGGTGCAGGCGGGGTGTATGAGCGGTTGGAGGTGCAGGCGGGGTGTATGAGCGGTTGGAGGTGTGGTTCAGGCGGGGTGTATGAGAGGTTGGAGGTGTGGTTCAGGCGGGGTGTATGAGAGGTGGAGGTGTGGTGTTAGCAGAATGGGTGGGTATAGCTGGGAAAGCGTTCTACCGTGTTTGTGCTCTGTACCAGATGCCGAAACTCAAGGCTGCTGAGCCTCAGAAAGAACGGGGAGATGAAAAGAAGAACACTAAGTCAGGCGCCAGTGGCTCACACCTATAATCCTAGCTGCTTCAGGAGGTTGAGATGTAAGGATTGCGGTTTAAAACCAGCCTGGGCACCGGAAGTGGCGCTGTGGCTCAAAGTGGTAGAGCACCAGCCTTAAATGAAAAGGCCCAAGGATAGCACCTAGGCTCTGAGTCCAAGCCCCATGACCAACAAGAAAGGAAAGCACTGAGGATCTTTAGTGGAGACAGCTCAAAAACAGGCATCATCTGGGATGAGATGAGCCATTAGAATCAGCTCGTTTCCAAAGTATTATAATTTTATACTGAGGGACCCAGACAATTGCCATCACCCCTACTTGATGGTGACACAGACCCCAAACAGCTCAAGTACCCTCGTCATTGTTTGTATCCTCTGCCAGCTCCTCTCACCAGCTCTCGCTGCCGGCCTGCCCTGTGGGAACTTGCCCGTAAGGAGCAGCATGACTCCTCTCTGCCAGGGCCTCCAGGATGTCAATCGGCTCAGAACAACTCGGTGGGAAAGGCCAGGGCACCCCGGGGAGGGGTGGGGAAGGGCTGGCTGAAGTTAACCAAAAGGAAATTTCAGCCAGGAGAGATGGGCTTTGTTAGATCACCGCTTAAAAATGC